TTTATCAACTGGCTGTGAAGAGAAAAAAAAAAAAACCAAGAGGAACTGTTGATAAACTGGACCCTCAGGAGCACATTTGCAATGTGCCCCGAAGGAATAGCTTTGATTGGGCAGAACTCATCCGGATGGATAATTTCCAGATTTTTTTCATAAGCACTTAGATTTTGACATTTTTAAAAAATCAAAATCACCACCATAACTCTGTCATCCATCCAATAGGCCTTTCAGAGCACTTTGCCAAAGCGATTTGATTTTAAGCATAATTACTTCAAACAGGTCATCAGTGTTGGCTTCACACAAGAAGAAATATCTGCCTCCAATATTAACTAAGGGGAACCTCGGTTAATGAGGGTTGTAAAGAAGAGACTTCTCAAGGCAACACCGCCACCACCTCAACAGGGACACCTAAGCTCAAGCGAGAAGGGAGACGTGCGGCTTTAAAAAGTGAATCTTCGAAGAATGAATGGTTGTTAGCTTCTACTGTAAAAGCCACCTTGGAGATGGAGTTGAGATGCATATATCTAATAAGTGAATAGCAAATGCCCATGCTGGCCTGAAAGTGAATTATTGGCTGGTTAAGTATACTTCCTTGATCAAATTATGAGTTTCTCTGGGAGTAGAATCAATCCCCAAAGTATGATTTAATTTTGCATTTGCTACAATAAGGTGTGGAAATAGGAGAGAAGAGAGAAGAGAGAAGAGAGAATGTGCTTCAGTGTCATTACTAGTTTCCTATTGTTATTAGGACATAACAAGTTGTCTTCTAAGAAATAGCTGACATGCAACCAAGAAAAACACATTTAAACACTCTGTATGGAGAGGATGGTGTTTACTCATGGCCTTCAGATTTCTGGCTTTAGTTTGATTTTGATACAGACCAATTTTTTAAATATTTTTTGTGATTCTGCAATTATGCTGCCCTTTGCTTCAATGAGCAAAGAAAATTATCTGGTGTCATTTCTGTCACCCTCAGGTCATAAATCAAAGTCAGTGAGACCCTAAGTCATAGTTATTTTGAAATTAAAAGGTTAAGAGTAATGAATTTGATCTATTCAGAATCACCCAAACATATGGCCTTATGTTTTCCTAATAAAATAGAAATATCCCCTCAATTCTCCAGATACAGAAACCAGTTAGATTTTTTCTGGAAGTCAAGACATTTTCAGGTGTCAGGTATCAGCAGGTTGCTTCATTTCACTGAACCAGCTAATCATTCAAATAGTATCAGACCCATTTTTCTCCAAAGGTAAATTAGTATTAAAATGAGGAAGACACACAACTGGAAATGACAGTTGATGAAAAGGTAAGAATGAAAATAAAAACATTTTCCTCAGCATATTCCTTAATATTCTTATACCGTCTTTCTCTCGTACCATTTAGATAAGACTGATATGCATGGTGATATATTCTCTTTCTGGGATAAAGAAACCAAGGCATTATCACAGTAATAGTCATTGTGCTAGTTACAAATACGTCCCCTTAACATTTGGCACAGAAATTTGGTTTCTTCTGGTTGGTAAAAGCTGACATACCTCATCACCAGTCTAGAGCACAAATGTTCTTCTCCAACCAAAGTCACTATGGTTAGATGTGTCTCTGAATAAAAAAGGTTATGGATGTCCCAAGGGAGGTGGAGAGTGTGTGTGCCTGTGTGTGTGCGTGTGTGTGTGTGTGTGTGTGTGTGTGTGTGTGTGTTAAATAACATGAAAATAAGACTGTACAAAAGAGGCCAAAGACTTGATTAAAGAAAAAAAGAAAAAGATGGTGACAAATCTCTGAGCTCTGTAATATTTTCCTATATTATGTGAACTCCTACAAATACTATTGTAATCAGGATATTCAATCCTGAAAGCAAATGCTAGGAATCCATGCTTTAGTTTTCTTTATAGATTTTCAACAGTAACCACATGCAAGCATGCATATCTTGGTGTGATTCTTTTGCACAATCTTCAAACATAAGTAAAAGCCCAATGACTGGTGTTTAGCAGCAACTATGCTGGTAATATATTGGCTTTGACAAGTTACTCTAAATCAGTGATTTCATTTTGGCACACATGACAACGAAAGGAAAAAAAATGAACAAAAGAATGCAGCTATGATGATTATAGTTTCTCTTGCCAGAAGCCTCCTGGAACAATAAGAAAAAGATTTTGGTAATGATTTCCACTCTCCATGTGGCTTTCTCATAACAAAGAGAGTTGCTGGTACTGAGCCAAATTGGACTCTCAGACATTTATATGTGCTTCTTCAGCCAAATTCCAGTACTCACATAAGATTACATCATAAGTGGTTTTTATGAAAATAATCACATCACTGAAAATCACAAGTATTTGGAAAAGATTAAAGAATTTATTTTAGAATTGGCTGCTCAGAATAGAAACCTGTTTATGGCAAAGCGTTATTTGGCCTTAGTGTATCCTGAAAAGCCAGTGAGATATATCACTCATTCTATGTATTATTTTACATGAATTCTGAGGGCCCTGGGCATAACATAAAAATGTCTTTAAAAGGACAAATGACTGGGGACAATTGTAAATAAGTGTCTGTACCAAATCTCAGGTGATCATAAACTATGGAAGTAACCTGGCCCTTACAAAAAGTATCACCAACCAAAATAAACACCAAGATTTTGTCTACAATAATGCAAAAAAGTTGGTGGATTTATCAATTCAGTAAGTTAGAAGAAAATTAATTCCAGCTTTATCATAATACACATAAACCTCTTTTACCTAATCTAATCATTTCTAAGACTTATCCAACTCAAATGTCTATTTTCCTCCCAAATTTAAATATATTTTTCATTTTTCACAAGGGCTGTACAAACACAGCCTCATTAGAAGAGGTCATACTGACAGTGGCATGTACACAACAAACAATGGGTGGCTTCACCAGCCTGTCCACTGCCTTCACCTGCAGTGCAGTTGGTGGGCAGCCATTGACAAGGTCACTTAAGGTCTCATCTTTGGGCACGGAGACAATGAGAGGAACTCTCTCTTCAAAATGTTTCACATGATAATACAGTGTTTCAAGGGGTGGACATATAATAGAACTAAGATTCTATCCATTTGTACTAATTATAATAAAACATTACAACAAGTGTAAGAAAGAACTGATCACTATTCCTTACAGCATTTAAAAACTGGTCTTGCAAAAATCTTCCAGGTCGACAGAATAGTCACTGAACCCTTTCAAACCCACAGCCACTTTACCTCCTAGCAATCACGAGCTTTGGTACCCTACATGAAGTAAGCATGTTGATTTCTTAGCAATGTTTCCTTCTTTATCCAAGGCCTCTTCCACAGAAAGTTTTCTTTTGCCCCCACCTAAGGTCTTCTGGATCCTGATAATTTGTACAGAGATCAAGTAGTTTCATTTTAAGGTCTGGGTTCACCATTACCTTCTGTGCCTTTGTTTGAAGGGGTTACAGTAAAATTGTAAATGTCATCCCAGAAAACCTCTAATAAATCCAATACTATTTACAAATAATTCAAAGTATTACAAGTGAAAGGATGATGGTCATTCAACTTGTGGATGAAACGATAGCTTAATAACTATCCAAAACTTGCATAAGAGAGTTTAACTGCTACCCATTCTCTAAAGAATTGTTTATATCTGAAAACATTCCTAACAGTATTCACAATACACTCAAGATAATATTTTGAAAATTAATAGATCCTGTCAAAAGATTCAATTTACTCACTATTAAAGGATCACCATTTTCATCTCCAGATAAGTAAGTGTTGACATCAGAACCCATATCCAAAATGGATAGCTTGGATATGAAAGTATAGGTAAAATAAAATAGAAATGTTCTATTCTATTGCTGAAATAAAATTAAACATGAAAAATGTACACTTTTCATTTTCTGTCAATGAACATTTAAAATTTTATTTGGAAGGAAGGAGAAGGGGAGACTTTGAGATGTAAAACCTTGCTTTCAAAACTATGGAATAGAATCAATCTGGAGTAATTTCCTTACACAGCAAACTTTGAATAGCAGCACCATGTAGCACTCTTTTCCATGTCAGAAAGACAGTTTTACTGAAGACACCCATAATGTTATAAAAGGGCAACTTAAAATGGGAACAAGGTCGCTTTTAGAAATTGGATCACAACCATTTATGCCAAAGCCTACACCATAGGACAAGTGAAGTTAGTCACTTCCAGTGTTATTCACTGACAAACTGCTTAAACAGTATTTGATGTGGGGGAACAGGCTATTTTACAACAAGCATTTAATTACCGTACACAGTACACATCTCAAATGTCATTTTGGAAGTTGAAATGTACACAGCTGGCAAAAAGTTTAACCACATTTTGTGATATAAAAAATGTTCTTGTCTGATCTATTCAAAAAAAGTTGGACAAAATGAATACTCTTTCTGGGGAGACGAGATCATTTCGAGATTTATTTGTAGCATAGATTGCAAGGAATACCACGACCTCAGTTTAAGTAACAGCAGGTAGAGTTTTCCAAACCTGTGCTTGAGCTGAAAGGAAAAACAAGCTACTCACAGTTTCCTTGAAGCATGCATTTCGCTGTGGCAAGTGCAACCGGGCGTGCATTACACGGCAAGCCCGGGCCGCTTCAGCGAACTAAGGGGCCCGCGAGCATTCCGAGCGCGGTGCAGAAGCTCTATGGCGTGGAGGCGCTAAGAAAACCCCCGCTGCTCGGGAGCGCCGGGTGATGGGAGCTGACTGAGCCAGGTGCCGGCTCCAGAAGCGAGGGGCTCAGCAGCCAAATGGGGCAATGGAATGGTACCGGCCGAAGCCCTTTCAGCTGTGAGAAGCAGGACACCGCGCTGTGCCAGGGGTGACTGTGTTATACAGTGTCCCATCTGAGACTGCAAAACACACTCACCAGCGAGCCGGGGGCCTCCTCCCTATGTCAGGGGCTGAACAACACACAGCACACCAGAGGGCAAGACACAGTCGAGAAGAAAGGGAAAGAAAGGAGAGTGAGAGAAAACAAACAAAACATGCGTCCGTCGCGCACAAACCTTCGGGCTCTGTGTTTTCTTTGTGGTGTACTTGCTTCAGCGGGCAGCAGAAGATTTCGTGACACTTAGCACGAAAGGGGGACTCTTTTTTCTTTAATTCCGCAGATTGGATGGAATCTTGCCGTAACATAATGTATTCCTGTGTGCCAGGGGGGGCGTCATCCAGAACTGTGGTCACCACATAACAAAATGAACTCAAGTTAGAGCTTCATGAAAGCAGTGAACGTCTTAAATCAAATCTACTCCCAGGGGAGACTAAAGAAACAACATCCCCCCAAAAAATTCCAAAGAAAAGCATTTAATAACTTGTCAATTTTAGTTTTAGAGGTTTTATTTAAAATACTAAAGGCTTGGAAATAGCTTACTCAACTGTAGATACCTCTACTGCTAGTCCAATGAGAATGTAACAGTGTTAAACTGTGCCTGTAGTGGGATAAAATATTTTAATACCAATAACCATACTGTATCTAAATAAACACCATACAAAACTCATATATTTCGATCTGAGATACAGTATAAATACAGGGGTGGACAAAAGTATACTTACAGTCATTCATATGGAAAATAATACAATAATAAATAAAAATACAAGAATACATTCTTGTTTCACATACTGCAACTGTAAACCTACCTTTGCCCACCTCTGTATTTACAGGTGATACCAGCCATTGTCCATCAATTATCAGTTTATTTTTCTTTCCTTGGTCTGCTTCTGGCAATAACCTGACTTCCATGCAGTATATACTGAGTCTGATGGAAGAATCAACAGTGCTGCTCTTTACTCTTTGATTTCCAAAGAGAACTAGAGCTGTTGCAAATACTGAAAACCCTTAATGAAGATAAGAAATTCCAGTTGAGAGCCTAGTAATCAACACTCGATCAAAGATCTACCTTGTTGAATTGTGGAAGAGCACGGTATGGTTCACTACTTTTGGCCAGAGATATACACCAAGTCCCTCTCAGCCCACATTTTCTTTCTAGGCCCTTGGTCAATTTCCTAGGCATGATTGTGAATTTTTAGCGTTTTTCCCCTGCAAGAACAGATGTCTGCTTTTACAGGGTCCAGTGCACAACATTCTTTAGCCTGATAACCATCCACCAAAGGGGGTAAAAATTTGACCTGCATTTGCAGAAACAGGGAACTGACCATGGAACAAATTTTTTCTTTCGCACCCTTCCCAACAAGGGCATTCCATTTTGCCAAGAGTGAGTCAGTACCTCCAAAGCTGTGCTCAGTGACATGCTGACTCATCCTATTCCCCCGAATGCACACACTTAATATGCATTTAGGAAGACTGGTACCACCAGCAAACTTCTTATGGAGAGAATAATGCTGTGGTGTTTGGAGCATATAAACGGCTTATGGCTGAAATCAGACAGGATCTGAAAGTTCTGTGTTTGGCATCCCCAGCCCATTGGCTGGGATCTTAATGGGCTTTAAGAACTTTCTTTCATATTGGAGTAAAAATGGTATAAGAACCTACATAACTTTTAAATTAGTATTATGAGTTTGGAACAAGTTCTAGATAGATAGTCAGTATGTGAAATTGTTGTCTTTCTTTATAAGTCATTAAATTATGCAAGAAGGTGATGAATATTTTAGTCAGTTCTCATTCTATTTTCCTCTAGTGTTCAGCAGCAGTAATCAAAAATTTTATATAGATACACCACCACAGCTTTTCTTGGCAGAGAGTTCCCTTCATCTACTAGGAATGTGACTATAACTTCTTATAATTGCTTTGAATGCATATCTTTGCTAGGAACAGCTGCTATTCAAAAACACTTGCTACTATTTCCTGCCATGAAGCAGATAGTTATGATAATATAGACACTTATCAAATTCCAGGATCACAGCCGAAGACAAATTCTGGTTTTACCACCCAAAATATTTAAAGAAAACTTCCCAAACTTGGAAATCTTTTTGAAAAGAAACACCCATGGTTATAAAGAAGCTGAGAGATTCCATTTTCATGCAGTGCATATAGGAAGCATATATTTAGATTAAAGGACGATTGGAGGGTGAAGAACAACTTTTGATAATACATAGGGAACTTGCCATTTGGAAGTAAATGGTGAACATAAGTCAACTGTCTCCAATTTTTATTTTTCAATACCTACAATGATGTCACAAATGGGTATTTCTGGAGATTAATGGCAGGCTGAAGCTAATAGCCTTTGGCTGATTCTCCAGCCATCAGCTTTTCCCAGCTGGTCATTAATTCCCAGAAAAAGGCCTTGCACTGCCATCATTATTGTTTAATTAGATACAACTGGTTATCTATAACATACAACAAAATTCAAGTGAGTGGGATATGCTAACCGATACAAGAACCAGCCCAAAAAGTCATCATGATGGGGAAAGCACGAACATCACAAAAGTGCAGGATAAATGCTTTCCACAAAATTCTCTCTCCTCTTCTTTCTTCAAACTGAATTTGGCAAGTGCAAAAGGTGCCAAGATGAGAGCATTTAAGGAGCCATCTGAGTAATAACCGCAGACACAGAACATTTCTTTGGAAATCATGAACATCTGGGAGTTAATGGCTCAGTTTGGGTCTCAGGCTGTCTCTATTCAATGTCCCAAACATCAGTCAATTCAGGCAAAACAGTAGCTTGGTATCATGTTGACACAACAGCCAGAAACATTTTGGGCTTTTTAACCAGAAGTGACATTGTTTAGGCAACATCTCACTCGGGTCTAAAAAAATCTCTGAACTTGAGAATATTTTGGATAAAAAATTAAAATTGTTACGTCAAATGCATTTATTCCCAGGACTCCTTCAAGTGAAGACAGTGGCTGTATACGCAATCGACAGCAGCAGGGGTGACAGTGGACTTCCACAGCTCTAAGGCAGGTAGGTCCCTTAATTCTACCTCCCTAAGGGGCACTTGCTCTAGAAAAGGGAGAGTAGGCCTACAAAGAAGTCAGTGTATCAAAACGGGAAAAAAAGAATGGGATTCATTATTTACCCGACTTAGTCCAATATTTTCTACCATTTCCCTCCTTCTAATGCATTCCCTTCTTGCACATAATCTCTATCATCTGAAAACTACTCCTCCCTCTGTTCATTTCAACCATTTTTCCACATTTCTTCAATGACTCCTGCTGCCCTTCCCAGCAAAAGATTTATCCAATCTTGGAGGTAGACCAAGGACTCCAGGGATTCGGGAGGCAGTGCATTTACACAAAGCCTCCTCCAGTTTCAGAGGTTCAGTCTGACTCTTCAAAGCACGTAAGAGTGGCTCATGGTTGATTTCTAAACTGTGTGGCCCCATGCTTTGGGAGAGGCTGCTGAGGCCCATGACAACAGCTGCCAGGGAGTAGGCCTTTGCCAGGAAATTGTGACCATGTACACAGTGCCCTTGGCCTTGATCACACAGGCCACCTACTCAGGATTCCAAAGTCCCGCAACAGTAGTAGAGGGCTGGAGGAGACAAGTGTACACATGCAAATCCACACATCCACAGACACACAGACACTGAAGGGTGGCGTACTCAGATGAGGAGGTGAAAAAATAAGTGACTTTTAGTGGCAGGATGATACTTATGACCACAATTTATGCAAGAGCTACTTCTTAGTATAAAAGGTATACTATTAACTCTCCATTAGATGAGCAAGCCTGCATCTAGAATTGGTTTCCCAGTAGCAGCTCTAGGCTGGCATTAGGCCATCTCCACTCTCCTCCAGGCTTCTCAGCAATCACCAAGATCAAGGTCAGGAGTGGGAGGCAGTCATGGAAATGAAAGAAACTTTAAATCTAAGCCTGATGACTTGGATGAAGGTGCTCACGTTCAGAGAAATGTAGTATGCCCATTTCAAATTAGACAAAAAGAAAGACCCAGTCTATAGCAAAACAATCATTGATAAACTACCCAATAATCACAATGTAATGGACCTTTTAAATGTATTTAAACTAAAGAAGTTAACAATCATTTATCCATCCTATGTTTAGAAAATTCAACTCTTGTTTTACTCTGTAACTTTATCAATAAATATAATACCAGCTACATAAAATAGCTACCCAAATATTTAGTAGTACCACAAACACTACAATATAATCGTCCAAGTCATTCCAAACAAAATTTCTAGAGATAATATAATACAAACTTTTGTCTTAAAACACAAGGAATATAAAGTTCAAGGACAGGAAGTAACTTTTATTGGAACAATTATTGGAAAAGCCCAGCCTAGAAGCCAGGATTCTAGTGTGTTTACCAGCAAGTCTAAAGTAAAACTGCTTAGTACAAAATTGATATATTAAATAGGAATCAGGTTCTTCAGTATTTTTTTAATCCTCACTCAAGGATATTTTTTGCATTGCTTTTCAGAGAGGATGGAAGGGGGGGAGAGAAAGAAAGAGAGAGGAAAAATAGATAGTCCCTGGAGGTAGACCAAGGACTCCAGTGAGAGAGACACATCAATTGATTGCCTTCTGCACAGCCCTGGACCAGGGCTGGGGATGGAACCTGCAACCAAGGTATGTGCCCTTGACCAGGAATCAAACCCTAGACCCTTCAGTCTGAGGGCCAACGCTCTAACCATTGAGCAAACTGGCCAGGGCTCTTCAGTATTCTTTAGCTTCAAAGATTACGCCTATCTCTGATGAATTTTTCTTTCTTTATTCAAAGACAGAAAAGCAAGTTTCTAGGAAACTATTTAGACAATGCTACAAAGGTACCTGCCCCTCACCAGAACCGTGTAATTTTCGAGGTTTGCTGACTTCAAGCTGGAAGCTGTTAATAAGCCCTCAATGATTTGATGATGCTGGGTTTTGGTTTTAAATTAATTCATCACAAAGATGACTCAACATACTTAATGATACATGATTTTAAATCAAAGCAAATCGGATATCACCAGAGCTATGAAAATCAAGTACAGCCACGGGATTCTCAAAGTTATTAGTGACTTCAATAAGCAAATAGTTAAAACCATCTATGAAACAGAAAATATGACAAATACACAGATTATCAAATGACCTCCCATAATGAGAATGTGAGAAGAAAACAGAGTAATTAGAGTGATTACTCTTCCATGTCACTGAGCACCTACCATGCTGAAAAGTACATTCAAACACAGGATAACTTAGCTCAAGACCTCCGTTTTGCTTCACAGCTAACTATGCATCCACTTATCTAAGCATGATATTCAAGCTTTACTGCCACAGTGG